TATATTTGTCCGTCATTGTTGTTTTTTGATGACCTCTGCCTTCCCTTCATCAGGAATTCTCACCACGAACCTTTCCTGCAATAACCTGGTTTTTCATCTCCAAGCCTGATCTCCCTCCTCACCCGGACCAACCCGCTCTTCCACCGCTCACCTCCCTTGGATTCTGGATTCACGCTGACGTTGCTCACCCCAGTCCTGGCTACCCTCCCATGCTCTGGATTTCAGTCCCCACAGTAAGATCCACTACAAACTTAGTCCTGCCATTCTATTCCCCGCTGCCCAACACTGACAGTGCTTGTCTCAACAGACCCAGCCCCGGAGCTGTGCTCAACATCACCGCCACGTCTGGCGGTGCACCTTTAGTTCTCCTTAAAATAAAACATTTATTTTTTCCTACCTACGTCTCCTAGTGTGAATTCTGCATGTCTTGGGTCAGGAAAATTCCCTCAGTCATGACAGAATCTTCCGGCCAAACTCCTGACTCTGCAGAATCTCCTTCCCCAACCTTCTCCGACATGCTGGCTCTCCATGACCGGACTATACAGGCGCTTGTGGAGCAGACATCGGCCTCCAACCAGCACCTCCTGCGAATGGATGCCCTCCTCCAGAATCTACACAGTCGCCTCCCACTAGCCCCGGAACCAGCAGTCCCGGATCCTGTAGTTCCACCTGGAGCCGTTTCTCAGGAACTCCCGGCTCTCCAGCATTTCCGGCTTGCCTCCTCACCGCCTGTTGTCACTTTTGAAGGTGAGTCCTCTGATTGCCAGAGTTTTTTGCTTCAGTGTAATTTAGCGTTTGGATGCTCACCGGACTCTTTTAGTTCAGATACTGCTCGAATTTCGTATGTGATTGGGTTGCTCCGCGGACGAGCTCTCAGGTGGGCTGAGGCTAGGAGTCATAAGGAGGCTTTCTAAACCGGTCCCTTTTCTGAGTTTGTGAAGGATTTTAAATTGACGTTCTGATGTGAGGAATCACCGGGTGACGTGGCACGCAAGTTGCTGCACTTAGCCCTAGGACGGAGATCGGTAGCGGATTTCGCCATTGATTTTCGGACCATTGCTGCTTCCACGAAATGGAATGAAGAGGCGCTAAAGGGGGTCTTCACCAAAGCCTTTTCGGAGAAGATTAAGGACCAACTAGCGCTTTGTACTGAGCCTGCCACTCTTAATGAGTTGATCAATTTGGCGATCCGCATCGACAAGAGGCTCCGGGAGAGACAAACAGGTACACATTCCTCACACACTAACCTGTCTCCTCAGCACCCGTCGCTACCTAAAAGCCAAGGCCTAATGGAGGAACCCATGGAACTAGGTCGGACACATCTGGACCCAGAGGAGAAGCAGCTACGCCGCAGGTCAGGTCTTTGTTTATATTGTGGTCTCGCAGGTCATTATGTCTCCAAGTGCCCTTCGTTAAAAGACAAGGCCCATCATTAAAAACGAGAGTTATGATGGGCAGTGATTAACCAGTGGAACCTCTCGTAGCATCATTCCCTGCACCTTAGTTTCCAGGCTTCACACACTCGACTGCCATGCGTTGTTAGATTCAGGCTGTGAGCAGTCCCTTATGAATACAGAGCTGGTTAAACAGCTGGGGCTTTCCACCGTCCCCTTGTCTTCTCCTCTAGCTGTCTCTTCGCTAGATGGGAATTCACTCACTACCATAACACATCGCACCACCACCCTCACTCTCAGAGTATCCGGTAATCACACTGAGGAACTCTCGTTTTTTGTTTTTCCATCCCGAAACGCCCCTATAGTCCTTGGGCATTCCTGGCTCTCTGTTCATAACCCCCACATCAACTGGCAGACTAACTGCATAGAGACCTGGAGCCCCCATTGTTCCGCATTATGCCTTAGTTCCGCACTTCCTTTCCCCAGTGGTGACTGCTCCCCTCCTTCTGAGCCCCCAGACCTTTCTGGAGTCCCTGAGTGTTATCATGACCTTAAAAATGTTTTCAGTAAGGATCATGCAGCCTCCCTTCCGCCTCACCGACCGTTTGACTGCAGCATAGATTTACTCCCTGGAGCACCTCTCCCTTCTAGTCGCCTTTACAGCCTCTCCAAACCTGAGAGGGAGAGCATGCAGAAATATATTACTGAGAGTTTGGCTGCTGGATTGATTCGACCCTCAACCTCTCCTTTGGGGGCGGGGTTCTTCTTTGTCCCCAAGAAGGATGGTACCTTGCGACCCTGTATTGACTACTGCGGACTCAATAACATCTCAGTCAAAAATAAGTATGCTCTGCCTCTCCTCTCATCCACTTTTGAACCCGTACATGGAGCTACAGTCTTCACTAAGCTGGATCTAAGAAACGCTTACCACCTGGTCAGGATAAAGGAGGGTGACGAGTGGAAGACTGCCTTTAAGACCCCCCTTGGTCATTACGAGTATTTAGTAATGCCGTTTGGTCTAACTAACGCTCCTGCTGTGTTCCAGACTCTAATCAATTCAGTGCTGGGGGATTTCATTAACCGCTTTGTTTCTGTCTACTTAGATGACATCCTGATTTTTTCTAAGGACTCTGTGGAACACGAGGAGCATGTGAGGGCAGTACTTCAGCGCCTTCTCCAGAACAGGTTGTTTGTCAAAGCAGAGAAGTGCGAGTTTCATGTGCCTTCAGTCAAGTTTTTGGGTTTCATCCTGGAGAGCGGGCGGTTAAAGGCGGATCCTGAGAAGACCCAGGCCATTCTGGACTGGCCCACTCCCACCTCCAGAAAACAGTTGCAACGTTTCCTGGGCTTCGCGAACTTTTATCGACGTTTTATCCGAGGCTACAGTCAGGTAGCGGCCCCTCTCACCAGCTTGACTTCCATTTCCAGACCCTTTGTTTGGACTCACCAGGCCCAGGCTGCCTTTGACCAGCTCAAACACCCGTTCACCCAGGTCCCTGTCCTGACCCGACCGGACGACACCCGACAGTTCACCTTGGAGGTTGACGCCTCAGACGCCGGAGTCGGAGCTGTGCTGTCCCAGGTAAATCCAGATGATAATGCTCTCCACCCCTGTGCTTTCTTTTCCCGGCGTTTGTCCCCTGCAGAGAGGAACTATGATGTCGGAGACCGGGAACTCCTTGCTGTTAAGCTCGCCTTGGAGGAGTGGAGGCATTGGCTGGAGGGGGCGGAATTGCCAGTGGTTATCTGGACGGACCATAAGAATTTGGCTTATATCAAGGATGCCAAGAGACTCAACCCCCGACAGTATCGTTGGTCCCTATTCTTTTCCCGTTTTAACTTTATTATTTCCTACAGACCAGGTTCTAAGAACGTCAAACCTGACGCCCTCTCCCGGCAGTTTTCCCCTGACAATGAACTGGAGCCAGCCACCATCATCCCTCCCTCCTGCGTCGTGGGATCCCTAACCTGGGACATCCGAACCAAGGTTCTCCAAGTCCTTAAGACCGACCCAGGCCCAGGTAACACACCTCGCGACCTACTTTTTGTTCCCAGCCGAGTCCGAGGCCCCGTCATCCACTGGGCTCACACTGGGCGGTTTTCTATGCACCCCGGGGTAGGACGTACTGTGGCCCTCATCCGGCGCACATTCTGGTGGCCGTCCCTTTACAGGGACGTCAAGGACTATATAGCTGCCTGCCATGTCTGTGCCAGGGGTAAGGGTACCAACCAGCCACCTGCCGGTCTTCCCCAACCTCTTCCCATCCCCTCACGACCTTGGTCCCATATTGCCCTGGATTTTGTTACTGGTCTTCCCCCTTCTCATGGTTTTTCTGTAATTCTGTCTATTGTAGACCGTTTTTTCCAAGGCCTGCCACCTTGTTCCCCTGAAGTCACTCCCTTCCTCCTCAGTTACTGCCCAACTGTTGATTAAACATGTGTTCCGCCTTCACGGCATCCCTCAGGACATCCTATCAGACCGGGGTCCCCAGTTCATCTCACAGTTGTGGAAGGAGTTCGCCGCCGCCCTGGGGGCCAAGGTCTCGCTAACGTCGGGGTTCCACCCCCAGTCTAATGGGCAATGTGAGCAGCTGAACCAGGAGCTGGAAACCACCCTGCGTTGTGTTTGTGCCACTAACCCCTCTAGCTGGAGCGCTCAGCTTCCCTGGGTGGAATATGCGCACAACAGTCATGTCTCCTCATCCACCGGCAGATCCCCCTTTGAGACGTCACTGGGCTTCCAACCTCCCCTGTTTCCCTCGGACCAAGTAGGTGCCGCCTCTTCAGTTCCACAGTTTCTCCGTGGGGCCCGTCGTATGTGGACACAGACCGTTGCGGCCCTGGGACGTACGGCCAAGCGCAACAAGAGAGTTTCTGACCGGCACAGACGTCCTGCTCCTCAGTACGTTCCTGGACAACGGGTGTGGCTGTCCGCCAGGGACATACGCCTGAGAGCCTCCAACCGGAAGCTCTCTCCGCAATTCATTGGTCCCTACACCATTGCTGCAGTCCCTAGCCCCTCCACTGTACGTTTAACCCTTCCTTCCTCCCTTAGGGTTCACCCTGTGTTTCATGTGTCCCTCGTCAAGCCTGTTTTGTCTAGCCCCCTGTGTCCCTCTCCTGCTCCTCCTCCTCCTCCTCGTTTCTTTGAAGGTGGCCTGGTCGGCGGCTCCTCGACGTTCGTCCCCGGGGACGGGGACGACAATACCTCGTTGACTGGGAAGGTTTTGGCCCCGAAGACAGGTCATGGGTCCATGGGTCTTTCATTACGGACCCTTCTCTCATCGCAGACTTTGAGGCCTCCAGGGCCTCGTCTTCTTCCTCCTCCTCCGCCTCCTCCTCCTCTGCTAGGCCGCCAGGGGGCGTCCGTTGAGGGGGGGTGGGGGGGGGGATGCTGTCAGGATCTGGGGTGAGTCTGCACATTCCTCTAATCACCTTAAGTCATTGCAGGTGGGCGGCTCCGGAGAGCGGCCAGCTGCAATGATTTCCCTCATCTACTTCATGTGGTTATAAGGAGCTGGAGATCAATTCACCTTGCCGGAAGATTACTCATTTTGGGTAGCTCTTGCCACTATAGAAAACTGCAGCTTTAGTCTTGCCTTATATTTGTCCGTCATTGTTGTTTTTTGATGACCTCTGCCTTCCCTTCATCAGGAATTCTCACCACGAACCTTTCCTGCAATAACCTGGTTTTTCATCTCCAAGCCTGATCTCCCTCCTCACCCGGACCGACCCGCTCTCCCACCGCTCACCTCCCTTGGATTCTGGATTCACGCTGACGTTGCTCACCCCAGTCCTGGCTACCCTCCCATGCTCTGGATTTCAGTCCCCACAGTAAGATCCACTACAAACTTAGTCCTGCAATTCTATTCCCCGCTGCCCAACACTGACAGTGTTTGTCTCAACAGACCCAGCCCCGGAGCTGTGCTCAACATCACCGCCACGTCTGGCGGTGCACCTTTAGTTCTCCTTAAAATAAAACATTTATTTTTTCCTACCTACGTCTCCTAGTGTGAATTCTGCATGTCTTGGGTCAGGAAACTTCCCTCAGTCATGACTCTCTCTCTCTCTCTCTCTCTCTCTCTCTCTCTCTCTCTCTCTCTCTCTCTCTCTCTCTCTCTCTCTCTCTCTCTCTCTCTCTCTCTCTCTCTCTCTCTCTCTCTCTCTCTCTCTCTCTCTCTCTGTGAGAATGAGAAATGTGAGGATGATGAAAGATGAGTTCTACTGTTAGTAATAATCCCAGTCTTTGTGTTAGACTATATCGACACGTTGGTTTCACAGTTTATAAACACAATGATGACAGGTTGAAGACACGGTTATAGTAATAATGATGAAAGTTGTAACTAAACACTGAAGGGTGAAGGACTTTCCTTCGGTAGAAACAAAATACACAATCTCTCTATATTGCTATTTGACTTGATGCTGCAACCTTACCCAACTGCTTTTTTGACTAAAGACACAACATGAACTTTACTTTGACAACTTCAAGCAATTAAACATTGCATACACTTGTGATAATACAGGGGTAGACTTGGTCCTTTTGAGGCCCCAGGGGCACTTAAAACATAAGGGGCCCCCAATGTCTTATTTTGTTACTATTTTCCAGCTTAAATTTGTTGAAGACATACACATACATATCTACATACACACACACACACACACACACACACACACACACACACACACACACACACACACACACATATGCATATACATGGGTCACAGGAATGATCTTGAGTCACGTTATGAGTGGAGGAGATGTGTCTCCTTTCAGTAACACTTCTCTGCAGTTCACGGATGAAATTGCTAATTGAAAACTCAAACGTTTGGGTGCGTTTTCAAAAGTAAGCTGCAGCTAAATGCAACACCAGCAAGAAAATTTGTGCTGCAAAAATCAGGAATACCAGCAATTTAACAAAGTACATAGTCCTGCAGGACATTATCTTGAGAGCTGAAACATGGAAGTCTGCAAACAAGGAAGATTGCAAAAAAGTAAACCAGAGTCCATCACCTTCCAAAGCACTTGAGTCTGAGGATGAAGGCTGATAAAAGCAGCAATAGGACAAAAAAAAACTACTTACCTGATTTTTACCAGCATTATAAAATCCAGTTCAGCTTCATTACTCAAAGAATTTAAAGCAATTTTTTTTCTTCTTCTTCCCATGTCCTGTCTGGCTGTGAAGCAAACAGAATTGATGTCTGAATGCTGGTGACAAGCCTTACAGATTTACTCTCAGTTGGAGCATCAAAGTGTCTGCTTTTAATGTCATGCCTGATACTTAAAAATTTATTGTTATTGTTTTTTTGAACGCATGTAATTCCGACCAAAGGAAGAGACTAAAGGAAGTGGTGGGGGTGGGGGGGGGGGGGGGGTGTTCCACAAAAATAATCAATCAATGATGAACAAGAGTCTGCTTCTAGACCTGCAGAAGGAGAAAACAAAGAAAAGAAAAGGGACACACAACAGTACAACAGGAGCAAGCTATCACTGTGTCAGCCTGATGAGGAAATATAAAATCAACATTGTTTTACTGAACAATCACACGATAATAAATCACAGTGCATTTGGTGCCAACCACAGCCTTAAGACATGTGTTGAAAGTGCCCAAGTCCATACTTAGCGGCGTATTACACTCTGCAGGTGGAGAGAGGAGAAAACGGAAAACAGAGAAGAGCCCACAGCCAGAAGACACAAAAAAAAATAAATAAATAAACATGGGGATCGTGACAGACCCAAGTACATTGAACTTGTTTTTCTGAATGCTTTATTACTCGGAAAATTTAAGGCTACAGGTTACCTGGAAATGTTCAAGTTAACTCTATTTATCTGGGGTCTCAGTGTAACTACCGTAAATCCTCTTTTACAGGCCCAGGCCATTATTTACCCAAACACATCCTGGTTCATGCCTTTATTGGAAGAAGGTCAGAATTAGAGGTAGGCCTCAATTTTGATTGAGCAAAATAAACTACCAGTAGAATGAATAAAAACAAGATTCTGTGTTTGTTTGAACCTATAAAACACTAGGTTTTTTTATTGAAAATGTACAGATAACACTGTACGTACGTATGCCGATAGGACATTTACAACAAACACTGTTGTTTCAGACTAAATCCCAGTATGGTAGCAAACATGCCGGTAGTGCATTGTAAACACTTGGTGATACTAAGGTTATTGATTCAAGGCAGCAGACATCTTACCACTCCAAAGTTTGGTTTGAAGTAAAAAAAAAAAGAAATCTTCCAACTGTTTAATCCTCATTCTCTGCAGTTCCACATAACAACAATGAACTAACTGCTAAAAACATTATAACTCTACAAGCTATTTGCGGTGAGGACACGTGAAAACAGTATCAAACTTTTTACCTGCTGTTTTTGTAGCTGCGTTTCTAAGCTGTTCAATAAAACCTTTACTAAACCCTTACCTGTGATGAAGTGATCACTGCATTTTCCATTCTGTTTCTGCTCACCTTGCAGCCGGAGATTATGATCCACTATTCTGTCTTTGTTCAGTACGTTTCAGTAAGTCCTTTGTGGTGCACTACTTTCGGGACACGAAAAAAACTCGCTTGTTTTTGTCCCGATCGCATGGAATTTGGGCATTTTTACACCCAGTCAACAAAGTTAATAAAGCCTGGGGCACACCAGAGACAAACACTCCACATCGCACGACGCGCCGCATCGCATGCGATTTTGAGAAGTCAAATGGTCACACAGCACGTGCCGCTCTGCATCGCTAAGCGCTTCTTGGAAAGTTCAAGAAGTACAAGATCACACAGAACTTATACGTGATCAGACTTGCCGTATTGTTTTGTGAGACTCTAATTCATTAACAGTGGGTAAGCACGCTATTTATTAAAATATTTTAAGATCAATAGTACTTTAAAGTTTTACATAACTGCGGCTGGGTTTGTGCTGGAGGTTAAGTTTGTGCCGTAAAGCCGGCCACTATTAGAGACCGGCCTTTATTTACCCCCACAGACAGCGAGACTGGTTAATGTAGGAGACCCAGCCAGTAACTGACAATATTAGAGGATTTACAGTGCATGAATACTTGAACTGGAAAGCCAATACAGCACCGAACTGTAAACAGAATTTGGCCAACGTTTAGAATTGTTGTATTTGTTAAATAAATTAACAAAAATAAAAATAGGCAATCCGACAGTGTTGAATTAATATTTTTAGGTAAGTTCTACTCATTACAATTGTGCTCTAGTTGCTAATTTATTAAAAAGGGTCAAATAACATTATTTTTCTTTATTTCACTCATTAACTAATATATTTAGTCACATTTTAGATTATTTTATTGGGTGATATTTAGCATTCCAAAAATCTTTCTGTTTTTTCAGTGTAAATGAAAAAAAATTACCTAAATTCTGAATTAAAGAGGATTTCAGTAAATTACAATGAAAGTAAAGCGTTATTTTCACAATAAATTAAATAAGAAGTGTTAGGATAGTTGCTGTTAGCTAACTCATATCTTCTGCAGACCAGTTTTCTCTGCAGTTCAACACTCTTCACTGGTGTGTTCTTCCATATGGAACCACTCGGCCGAGAAAACAGAGAGGATGCTGTATCACCACAGTGGGAAGAGAAACATCCCTCTGAGTAATAATTTTAAAAAGAAGGCTAACCATGTGTCAACTATTCCACATGTACAGCAGGCTTTTTTTCTCTAACCCTCCCCACGTTCAAATATATGCCTCATGTGGAAGCGCATTTCACATAAAAGCTGATTGTGGACAGGACGTTCAAAGGCTTCAATGGCTATTGCATTTGAATCCATAAGGAAAGAGCACTAATCTAGAGTAAAAGTTACCCTGGTTTGGGGTTTTTTGTTTAGCTTTTTTGTCTGTAAAGTGATTAAAATACTGGAGACAGTTTTAATTTATTGTATTTAGTTATTTAGCAGACACTTTTAGAAATAGTAACTTACTGTTTTTGAATGAACATCATCTGCATGTTTTTGGTCTGTGGGTGGAAACTGGCTAATTCTGATCTCTACAGGGCCGGGCTTAATGCCTACATTAATCATATCATGACAACTCTGAGGAGGGTGCCTTTTAATGTAACTCTTCTGTTTAAGAGTAATTAAATGCTTTACATTTTGAATAATTAATAATCATCAGAGCCACGACAGAGCTAGTGCTGGGAGCTAGATTCAGGGAAAGGCTTCAGCCTGGGCCTTACGTTGATAGATGTTTGACCATTTCAACTATCTGAACGTTAGTTGTGTCTTCTGTGTGTTCGTCTTTGGATCTTAATCGGGGAACTATTTAAACAAAGAGGGCAAGCTGTGGTATTGACTGCACTAACAGATAATCCAAGCAGTTTCTGCTTCTTTCTTTACAGTAAGTGAAATAATATTTCTGTGCTTTAGTTTGCTGGTTGAATGGGGGGAAATGCTGCTTGCTCAGAGATGGGTGGAAATATACCGTGTTGGTTGTGCTGGCTGACTGGGTGCAGTAACTCGTGAGCTGCTAGCTACCAGAGGCTTCGATCCACTGCGGTCAAAGGTATGCAAGGTCGCTGCTGCAAAGACTTTTGATGAGTTTTGGTAACATGCCTCTCCCTTTAACAGCACAGTGGCAGTCCTGCAATCACAGATCTGCAAATCTGCTGCTTCATCCTTCTGGAGAAAGCCCTGCAAGGCAGGCACCCAGCCCCTCCCGTCTCTCATCCAGGAACAGCTGCTACACCCAGGCGGTCACAAGCTCCTATCTTCCGAGGGGTCCAAGACACACCGCGCGTCCACCTGGCTTCCATGCTAGGTTTTTAGTTGTGCTACTCAACTGTTGAGCTTTCTGAAGGAGTTTACAGTAACCAGGGCGGTTCCTGGATCTCTGAGGCTTGGAGCTCCCTCCATATCCTACACATCTTTGGGGGGCAGATCTGTGGCCCCTCACACTCTTTATTGAACACTCTTATAGAGAAACCTTACATATAAAAGTGCGTGAACGCACATAGGTGCTGACATGGTGCTCTCATAAGTATAGACTT